CTTGCATATTATTGCTTAGGTGTATAATTCTGAGATGTATTTTGTGCATTGTACACTCAACAACCAAATGATCTTTATGTTGAAATTGTTATAGATCTTACATAGTCTACAAGTTTTTGTGAAAATTTTATGTATTATAAATGTGTAAGAGCAATAAGCACTCCAGACACTATGTAGCCATATAATAAAAAATTTTTTAAATTGTTATTTATATATAATATTATTTTGCATAAGTATAATATTCAAGCTAAGATATGTACTCATTTTAAATTGCTCATATATAATATGACCACATAGTAAAAAAAATAGTGTAATTAGAGATTATACCTGTCAAGAAAATTTCTACTCAGATATTATTATATTAACCAGTTATCCAGGTAATTTATTATACCATATATTAAATTTTTTATCTGGATACAATCTCTATATGTAATATATGCTATATAGAATCTATAGTTATAGATGTTTTTGGACCAAGTAGAAGCTATACAAATTATTATAATAATTATTGTTAAAGACATGCTAATGTACAAATTAAAAAAATATATATATAAAAAGAAACCGATTTTACTTTTAAGAATTTTGCTCATATTTCTTGAGTTATTATTTCACTAAATATACTGCTTAAAAAAAACTTGCTAATAAAATAAAAAATTAATAATAATTTGTATTATTCTTGTTTTTAACTGCAAATATGGATAAAAAAACATGTGGTATATACAAATGCTCATTGTCCTAGAAGCCTTTATCTATAATAACAAATCTTATAAAACATGCTCTAATTGCTTAACTGCAAAGTCCAACAAGAGAGTAGAGAAATAATCTCTTTTACCTGATAATGACTTTGAAAGTATGAAAAATCAAACAGAAAGTCAATTAGAAAATAATATAGAAGAAATTGCCTTTACTAATATTATAGAATATATTTTTAATAAAATTACTAACCTTGAGGATGATTTTGGTATTTCCTTTCATTTGCATATTAAACTTGATAATAATATACTACAAATATAAATTATGATATTTAACTTTTGGCAAAATTAATAGTTGACAAAATTGAAGAAGTGGACAGATATCATTGGATGTAAGTAACTTTTAATTTAAACTACAAAATCAAATCATTAAATTAATCATTTTTCATATTAATAGATTTACAACTGAACCTACCAAATCTGTGTATTATTCTGAAGTTGGTAAATTCTATCTTGCTTGCTCTTAGTATTGTAAATTAGAATGTGATAATAAAGAATTAAACTGTAAAAGGATAGTTCATTTTGATTGTCATGGCAAGCTAATCATCAGTATCATTACAGCAATAAAAAAAGTAAAAGTAAAACTTAGTCATGATATTCAATATGAAAAGCCTATAGATGTTTCAACTCCAGAGGAAATAAAATATGAAATTATACAGAATCTTCATATGGATCTAGTGTAGCTATAAATGTATATCTGTTAAAAATTTGATACCTTACAAGTTACTCCAAAACAAATCAATTATTGGTGGTCCATATTTAATCAATGCTTCTTCAAATTAGATGAAGATCTTTTTATTTTCACACACTGTTTTTTAAACAATCCTGATAATAATAGTAAATTATGTTATAAATAGAATGATAATTTAGTAATAGCAATTGGATTTATCACTCTACTATTAACTAAACTCTTACCTGTTTCTAGTATTCATTGTGATGCTACATATAAAACCACTAAAGGATGGTTTGAGCTTTATAGGATAATTGGTAGTATTTATGGCACAGGATTTCTAATCACATATCTAATGTTAAAATACCACAAATACATTCAATAATGCTTAAATAGAATTGTGAAAAAATATATTTGCTAGTTTTTTTCACTCTCTTTGCAATAAAAAATTGCAGCCACAGCATTTCTTTACTAACAAAGATTTTGCTCAGATTAGTACTACAAAAGAAGTATAGCCTAATATTAATATGCAACTCTGCTTATAGCACATAGAAAAGGCAATAAAAGAAAAAATTAAAAGTTGTAAAAAAATAAACAAATACAGTATCAACCTAATAAAGTAGTTGAAGAGTTTAGTTTTATCTATCTCACCTTCAAGCCTGATTTAAATCAAACTAATCTTGAATATTATATTATATGTCTGGTAGAGCTTCAGGATGAAGTCATTAATCTCATTAAAAACATTTTAATATGCATCAAAAAATACTGGTTAATGCTTCTGGTCTGTGTTTAACAGCTAATAAAATTCGTATTAGCACTATTTGTAAAATATACAATTTCTGCTTCAAAAACTACCTTGTGTTTCTTTGGGTGTACTTATGGTCTAGGTGGTATAAGATTACAAGGTGGACACTTGGGCTTGATTAGTACAAATAACTATTCCAATTAACAAGACAAATATATTAATAGAATCATATTAAAGAGTTGTAAAATGCTGCTATCTTTACTGCTTCAACAGGCTACAACTTGATTATATTGTGTAGATTATTTGTACACATCTCTTTCTTGATCAACTAATTTGCTTTCATCAAATAAATAAGAGATGAATAACACTATCTTAGTTCAAAGATTTCAAGAAAGATTGGAATCGGCTTGCTACAAAACCAATTAGTAACAACAATCATACTCATTATTTTATTGATTCTGTATATTAGATATATAGCTGCCTATTATTTCTTAATTTTTGTTTTTTTATTTATAAATACTTGGTACAATATGCAATAATCATGACAAGGCTGCAGAATCCAGAAGGCATCTGGCTTTTATATGAAAACTTTTAACGAAGGGAAGATTATCTTTTTCTAATTTGGAATGCTAACGAATATATGCTAACAGAAATTAATACCCAACAATCTATAGTTTTACCAGCTTTTCAAGTTGAATTAATTAATAATTTGATTAAGATAATTCAAGATGGAGAACTTGATCTAGAATCAGCCAATAATTTGGTTGAAAGGGATGATACATTTGATCCAAAAATGTACCAGGTATGTAAGAAAAAGGTTGCAGCCATTAGACATATAGCAAATTATTTAGAACAAGAACTTTTAGTGAATAATTTCTATTATATTACTCAGATTGTTAATAATATAGATAAATTATTTACAATACTGGATGTTATCGAAGTAGCGCAAAATAAAAGAAGGAGCAATCCAACATAGCAAAAATCAACACCCTGGATATTATATTTGCAAAAAAAATTTGAATATATATAGTTTGTATAAGCCACTCTACTCAAAAAAAAAAAGAATGTAAAAATTTTAATTAGTGATAGAATAAAACAAGCTAAACTTATTAAAAAATTACAGGTTTTTACAGTACTCCAAATACTTCTTTATTTAATTTTCTTTGTATAATAAATTTTTTTGTTTTACGCATATTAATATTTTGTATATTAAATTTTTAGAGTCTTGTACTTATTAAGTTTTTTGGTAAATTTGCGAAATATCTAAAAATAAAAAAATAAAAAATAGCAAATTAATAAAATCTCTAAACAATTAAAATATTAAATAGTACATAAATACTATATAACTATATATAAATTTTTAAAAATATATCTTTTACAAAAAATAAATTAGATATTAGGAGAGTTCAAAATTAAAAAATAAGTGATGCATTTTAAAAATAAGAATTTTTTTAATATATATTATTTTTTAATATATTTAAATTGTAAATTAAAAAAATAAAATAAGATTCACTAATTTTAATTTTAAAATCTCCGCTAATTGATATTGAGTATAAGTTACTAACATGATATATCATTATTATTATATTGTATAATAAACAAATAAACACTAATTAGGCATCTTGTGCGATATATGCTAATACTAATTACAAAATTTAATTTTGGTATTGGGTCAGAGATCAGAATACACATAATCCAGAAAATCTCACCTACGTCCTGGATCTGTAAACTTTAGATATTATATATATTAGCATTAGGGTTAGTAATTATAGCTAATCAGTATAGTATAGATTCTAAATTCCGGTCTATACTATATTGATCTGCTCATCTATACTATACTGATTTGCTATAATTTTTACTTTTATTTTTAAAAAAACTCTTGGGCCTTGCTCTAATAACTTTTGAAATATATAATAAAAGCATCAAATTTTTGTATATAGTTCTATTAGTTGCAGTGGCCACAACAACATCCCTTAGAAACTTTCTTTTAGTTTATATCCAGAAGTAGTAAAACTTAAGACAAATATAAATCATAACTTGTCATTCTCTGTAGTTTTAATTTAAACTTTACACACATCACAAAAATCAAGTATTAAATTTCATAGCATATCGAGCTATATCAAGGTTTTATCAAAGGAAAGTATATATTTTTTCAAATTTTTGTGTAGCTTCATGTAATGTTTAAGAAAATTTCCAATAATTTTTGGCATATTTTTAGGAAATTTTTGAGCAATTTGAGTTTTGTATCATTAAACTAAATTATTTTATTTCTTAAATCTAAAAACCCAACTATGCAAAGCTCTAATATTACCAAGTTTTAATATTTTAGCTAATTCTTTTGCCTTAGTTACAATCATAGATGTTGTAATAGAAAATCTTTCATCTCATTTTTCTTTAATATATTTCACTAATTTTTGTTCTAAAACCAGATATTTTGGTTTACAGCCATGACTATTAAGTACTCTGGCTTTTTTAAGACTCAAATCTTGGGTAGGTTTAAGAGCTTCAAATTGTAATTTCTGTGCTCTTCATTCTTGAACACATCTTCTGTAAATTTTATAAAATATTGAAACCTTATGATTTGAAGTACTTTCTACATAAGAAACTACTTCAAGTTTGAATAAGAGAGTATAACTTTTGTTTTTATTTTATTATTCATAGTGATTACATGATTCTTAATCATTTTAAGATTTTATATAATTAAATAAGAAATATTAAAATAGTGATTACAAAAATTCAATAATCCAAGGTTAGTACATTCTTATATAACTAAATTTTACTTGCATTTTTATAATATTTATAAAAAAAAAATATTATTATAGTGCTATAGCACTGTAGTGTTACCCTATATATAAATACAAAATTGGTGTAACATATAAATCAAAACAATCTAACCTTTACAAAAAATAAAACTTTTAATTGGGTTTAGATTAAAGCTGGGGTTAAAGTTAGACAGGACATAGGTTATACTAAAATTTTGCAAGAAATTTTTTTATTAGAATACAAAAGATAGTTTCTAAGGGATGTTGTTGTGGCCACTGCAACTAATAGAACTATATACAAAAATTTTATGCTTTTATTATATAG